AGGGCAATATTGAAATTTTGGTCCAGTTCAGGGTTTCAAGAAAACTCACACTGCATGTACCTCAGGTCTCACCCTGGCAGCTGAGACAAGCCACCCCTACCAACTTGGCGGTATATCAGTGTTAGCCTTGGCACGATAAATCTCCCAGATCTATCCAACGGCTATGAAGATACATCAATCTGATTGGTGCTAAGGGCACGATAAATCTCCCCAGATCTATTCAACGGCTGTGAAGATACATCAGTGTTAGCCTTGGCACGATAAATCTCTCCACAATGACATGAATCAATTATGTACTTTATTCATTTACAATAAATGTCAAAAGATACATCAATCTGATTGGTGCTAAGGGCATAACTATCTAACACAAGGACACTTGCATAAACATTCTGAATAAGCCCATTTAGGTGGGTCCATATATCAGCTAATGGATACCAGACCTTGAGTGGGGGGGGGGGACTCGAGCCCTGGTAATAATACATTACTACTGATTTATTACTTCTGCGGGCTTTGGACAGGTAAATGCTAGTTTCTCAGTTTATCATACCACTAAGCTGTGCTCAAATCAACAAAGCCATGTCCCAACTCTACAGAGTCGGGTACATGAATCCTACCTTGCACTGTTCCATTGTTTAATTATAGGCCATCAAATCGTTTCTCACTACTTCAATCCATGTTCTTTTTGATATGCCCCTATCTCTTCCTTCAAATTGCAACAGATCACTACTTATGGTGCTGTAGATTGTAGATCAGTTTTTACTGTTCTTTTTATTGCCCCTTGCTATTTAAATTCTTTCCTCTACACTACTAAAACCTCATGATAAGCATTATCTGATGCTTTCCTCTACACTATCTAGTTCTCTGATAAACTTTGTTCTCTCCTTTGGAACAGGTTCTGTTGTTCCAATGCTTGAAGCTGTGATGGCGGTTGTTCCTTCTGAGAAGCTTGCTGTTCATTTCCATGATACTTATGGTCAAGCTCTGGCAAATATTTTGGTATCCCTTCAAGTAAGAAATCTTGTGCAACTCTAAATTGAATACTGAAGAATGTTTAATGAGGAGTTTGTGAGAGTATTTGATGGAATTTCCTGCATGTATACTATAGTAGTGTAATCCGTGGACAATGGAGTCAACTATGCTATAATGCACAATTCCAGAATCGGTAAACTATAACCAACCTCAGGCATCGTCCTGAGCCTGATCCAATGTCTAATTTCAACTTACCTTAATTAGGACACTAGTTGAGTCAGTCCAGGTTATACTACACTTCAGATATGATATTATATGCACCATCCTTTGGTGAGATTGAATTACATAAAGACTTATAATTTCCTAACTTGAACCAACGCATGTGTACATGTGTATGAATGCACATTCACCTAGGCTTGATCAAGAAACTGACTGAGCATCCAGTATGTAATTCATTGGAAATGCTCGGTAAAATCTAGCTCATGGCTTACATTCATGCTTTTATGGAAGAATTTTTTGGCCTCGTGTGATGATTGGATCCACTGAGTGGAGGATCCCAGTTTCCTTGTGGGTGAAGGTGTGCATGTGGCAGATTCACGGATGGGTTTTTCTACCTTGAATGTGGGTGTTCCTTTTGATATGCTCTTAACTCTTTCTTATTTTCTGATTTAAACAGATAGGGATTGGCACCATAGATTCTTCTGTTTCTGGCCTTGGGGGGTGTCCATATGCCAAGGGTGCATCTGGGAATGTTGCCACTGAGGATGTTGTGTACCTGCTCAACGGGCTTGGTGTGAAGACAGATGTGGATCTTAGAAAAGTCATATTGGCTGGGGAGTTCATCTCCAAGCATTTGTGCCGCCCATCTGGTTCCAAGGTTGCAACCGCTTTAAGCAGAATTACAGCAGATGCTTCCAAGATTTGAGTTGAGGTTTGTAATTTTCAACCATACTGCCCAAGAGAAAGAGAAGGATTAATAATGTTTGTGGAATTTTTCATCCAAATGGCCCTTGATATAGACCTATTATGTATAGAAATTAAGCATTTTTAGAGCCTTTTATCAGGTGAAATTTATGCTGGATCATATGTAAATCTGTGTATTTTTAGCATCTGTTTCCGTCTGAATAAAGCAAGAATATGCAAGTTGCAATTACACTGATCCAAATTTATTGGACCCAAATTGATCTTTATTTTCTTTTGAGTCTTTGGAATGACACAAATGGAATTGTCTTAGTGAGGATCACATATTGAATAAAGGGAAAATTCTCAATTAGTACCCTGTACTTTGGGCCTAGTTCCACTTTAGTCCTTGAACTTTAAAATGCGACAATTCAATACCCAAACTTTCAAAATGTACCAATCCAGTAAGCCCGTTAATCAGTCGTTAAGTGGCATTTGAAAAGATACAAATGCCCTTCGAGTGTCATCTAGTTTGGATGATTGACAAAGGAATTAGATGAAACTCGAAGGGCATTTATATCTGTTCAAATGTCACTTAATGGTTAGTTAATGGGTTGGTTAATGACAGGTACTGGATTGGCATGTTTTGAAAGTTTGCGTTTTAAAGTTTGGGGACCAAAGTGGCACTAGGCCCAAAGCACTGGGTACTAATCGGGAATTTTCCCTTGAATAAACTGAGAGGGTGGTTATTGCTTATTGAGTCCAGATCTCCTATATATATATATATATATATATATATATATATATGAGAGGGTGGTCACTGCTTATCGAGTCCAGATCTCCTATATATATATATATATACATAGATAGATAGATAGATAGATAGATAGATAGATAGATAGATAGATAGTGTGTGTGTGTATTAAATTGGTGTAGAAATGTTCTCAATGTGTTGTTGGATTCCCATGCTAGCAGTTTGTAGAGTTTATGCTTTGCAGGGAATCCCATCATCGATTTCATTGGAAACACCCCACACCCCATTAAGAGATTGTAGATTGTGCAAATATAAATATGTATAGTGCAAATACATACAAAACAATACAAAATACAAGACTTTGCACTCTAAATATTTGTATTTGTACTCCTTGCAGAGCCTCAAGGTTACATTTGGTTGAAGTGGAAATTTATTTGTACTGATGCAAAGCTATGATAGTAAAAATGATTCGAGTGTAGATTCTCATTTATTTTTATTTCAAATTTTATCTTATTTTGTTTTGTAGCAAAACAAATGAAGTGAAATAAGACCTGGAGTAGAAAAAATAAAACCTAAAACAAAATTAAACCAGAACTTTAATTCTTTTCATTTGCACTCCTATACATCTATACTAATTTGGCGTGTAGAGCAAAATATTTTATCTATTTGAACTTGGACATCACAAAGGCGCACACTCAGGTGAGGACAACTTGTTCCTTATGCGAAGTAGATGATGAGTGGTTGTCCTACCGCTAGAGCTTGGTTTGATTCACAACTCTACTTAAAGAACGGATGTGAACCTTCAATGAAACAATCGTTGTTTGGCTTACTTGGTGGTTGACTCTTGATGATGGATGTAAGGATCTTGAGCGGTCGGTCCATATTTGGATGATGTGTCATATTTTGCTCTATTAGCTTGATTGGCTAAAAATTTAAAGGTGATACCTTAAGTAATTATCCATCCTACCAACCTACAACCATGGATCAAAGTATTTTTATCAAGTCTTTGTTAATGATCATACCTTATTTGTTGTACTATTTCTACCAAATCATAGCATTAGACTGTATTTTTTCCATATTGTAATTCATATAAATCATACATTTGAAATAAAAAACAAGACGATAAGCAATGTCTGAGGTACTAGAGTAATTGAGGCACCTCTGCAATAGCACAATGACACTTTATCAAAGTAATGTAAAGTTCACGCATTTGCAATGAGCACAAAAGGCTATCCAAGACTTGTGATGGGCATAAAGTGCCTTTTGAGACTTGGGATGAGCACATATTGCTATCCAACACCTGTGATGAGTAGAGTGCTATTCCTGACATGCGATGGGCATAAAATGATATCGCAAGTCTGTGACGGATCTAGTATGCTACCAATACCTTGCAGTAAGCATAGAATAGTAGTTCATGCCATGATAAACAATAGATAAAGCCCAAGACCGGTGATGCCTGTTTACAGGTGACATATACTATTAGATAGTTTTGTATGCCCTTAGCTTCAATCAGAATGATGTACTTTATGAGTTTATTGTAAATGAATAAAGATACATATTTGATTCATGTT